CCTAGATAGAGCGGCCACTCAATTTCAGTTTACGGCAGAGCTGATTAGAGGGGACCTGATTCCAGGAACTGGTGGGCTGATTTGGTCGTTTGGGTTTCAGGGAGACACTTACCATAGTGGTGATTCCTCTCCTCTCCTCTCTGACAACTGGAGCTTACCATTCCCTCCCCTATGGTGTTTAAGACATAAGCTGTTGTGACCAGGATAAGATATCTGGACACCAGCAAGTTTTCTACTCCCAAGATGCATCTGGAATGATTCATGAGGTTGTGTAGCAAATGTGGTGCTCTCTAGCCTTTGCAGACCACCACTTCACAACATCCCTGACCATCAGGCATGCTGGCTGGAGCCGGTGGCAGTTGTTGTTCTACACATCTGGAGGAGACCATGTTGTCTGCCTCTGCTTTTCACTTCCTCTTTGCTATATTATTTTACGCATCCTCTCTTTTACCAATTTAAAAGCCAGGATGGTACTTGTTCCTTTTGGTTCCAACATATGCTGGAAATAATCATCCCAAAGCAGATTATCAACAGTTCAAAATACGTTTCAGCAGGCTACCCTACTTGTATGATGGCAGGCTATATGATGTCCTTGTGGGGCTTTCATTGCTTGCATTCATTGATAAGAGAGAAGATTCATCAGCTCTGCACCCCAATAAAATAAAATATATTTGCTTGGGAGGGGAGAAAACCTTGAATTGTTATTGCAAAGGTTTTCAGGGCAGCTTTGGGATATTGAGGGCTACAGGATGTTCACCCCAGTCCTAGTGGAAGAAAATACATATAATACTAGGGGTGACCCCCCTCATTCGCTCTGCTTGTCACCCCCTAGTATTTTATATATTTTCTTTCAACAACAACAAGAAGAAGAAGCAATAAGTTTCAGTCTTGCAAACTTTGCTCACACTGATCCCAGGTGAGGTTTTAAACATCTTAACTAAAACGTAGCTTCTCTGCTAAAGCAGAAATAATAATAAAAAAAAACCACATGCTGCATCTTCTGCCCTCTGTTGCATGCTGGGAACTGCCTGCGTGTATCTCTGTGTTGCAAACACTCTCATTTACATATATACACACAGGCAAATACTCAAATTACAGCTTCTCTGTTGAGTCACAGACCTGATATTCATGATCTAGTCACAAGGCCTAGTCACAAGTTAATCTGCCACACCTATTTAATGTGCATTAAATTTATATCTTCCACACAGCCTTCCCCAGAAGGCCTTGGCAATGTCTCAGCCTTTTGTCCTCCTGCTCTGGAGGTGAACCATTTGGGCTCTGAGGTGGATTTCTGCAGGGCTGGCTTACATGTGTCGATTCTGTCTCCCTTGGTGGCTCCGAATGTCATCATAGTGTGACAATAAACCATTGCAAACATATGTAGAGAAATAGAATAACAAAATTATTTAGCAAGATTCAGTGAATAGGGAGTATCCCTGGCACTGTGCCAGTAGGCCAACACACAAAATATGAATGGACTTATTGGAAACACAGTACATTAGAAATAAAGGTTGGCATTGCATTAAATCAAGCATAGGGAACTTTGGGCCCTCCAGATGTTGTTGGACTCCAACTCCCATCATCACAGCCAACACAGCCAATGTTTATAGATGTTAGGAGTTGCACAGCCTCTGAATGTCCCTATTTTACAGGGATGTCGCTGGAAAATGTTTAATGTTTTATTATGTTTTTTTATATGCTGGAAGCTGCCCAGAGTGCTGTGGCGACCCAGTAAGATGTGTGGGGTATAAATAGTGAAATTATCATTATGGAATGGGAACATATCAGAGAAATGTTGGAGGGTATGGAGTTGCAGTCAGACAACATCTGGAGGACTACAGATTCTTCCTCTCTGTTTTAAATAGTTTGGGTGTTAATCCTATACACATTTATTTTGGGGATAATAAAACGTATTTCTGAGCAAACACGTATAGGATCAGGCATCTTTCTAAATTTGGAGATGGAAAACAGACCCATTGCTCATTACAGCTCTGTTTTCCCACACAACATTTTCAGTTTCTCAGAGCAGACATGACAGACAAAACCAACTTAGCTCTGCATTATTTTTCTGTAAAATCATTAGCCTTTTCTTTTTGTTTTGTTTTGCTGCATTTCTTTTCTTGTCTTTAAAGCATACCTGCTGTTGCCTGTTGTTTTTGGTGCCTCCAGAAGTCCCCCCCCCATCCAAAAATCACATATGTTGAAAATTTCCAGCATATGGTAGAAGAGGTGGCCAAGGCGACATTTCAGTTTTAAAAGCTGCTTGCCATGTGGCACAGTAAGATCCTGCTTGAAAAACAGTCTGAATCTCTTTTGAACTTAGGGAGCTGGGGTTCAGGGTTCAGTAGACCCCAGCCTGCTTGTGAGACTGGGTGAAGCCTTTTGGTGAGCTCCAGCCATAATCACATTGACAGTTTTGTTATCAAAATACAAAGAGTTCATTAAAAACACCCTATAAACTAGTAGAAACTGCAACCAGGAAAAGATTAATGTCTGTGTGCCAGGCTTAGGAAAAGGAGAGAAAGCTTCTGGCCCTCTAGATTTTGCTGGATTCCAACTTCTGTCATAAAAACATAAGCATAGCCTTGCTGGATCAGACCAAGAATCTTACCAGGTGCTGATGGGAAGCTTGCAAGCAGAATAGGGAGCCAATAAGTCAACATAGCTGTCAACTTTTCCTTTTTCTTGCGAGCAATCCTATTCGGAATAAGGGAATTTCCCTTAAAAAAAGGGAAACGTATGTAAGTCAATGGAAAGCCCACAAAGGTTTGATTACAGTTGGAATCCAACAACATACGAAGGCCCACAAGTGCCCCCACTCCTAGCTAAAACACTCCCTTGGAACCAAAGTTTTCATCTTCCAATGGAAGGCGTGCTCCTCCATTGGAGAAAGCTCCTTCCATCAGAAGGAAAGCTTTCGATCCAACCAATTGGCTCCTCCTACCTATTTTGGGTCTTGAGCAGGGGTCGGCAAGGTTTACCTCTCCTGAGCCGGTTCACTCCAGTGGAGATCCCTCCATGGGCCGGATCGCGCTGGCGTCTGCGACTGCGCAGATGCAATTTTATGTGTCTGCGCAGACACAATTTCCAATGCTGCAGAAGCGAGATCCCACGCTGCGCTGTGCCGGTTTAGCACAGCACGCAGGGACTCGCCGAGTGGGTGGCTCGGTTCAGGGGCAGCTCGTGGGCCGGTTATGGCCCATGGGCCTTAGGTTGCCGACCCCTGGTCTTGAGCTTCTGACTCCACTATCTCATGTCTATTGAATCGCAGTAACTGTCTCCTATGAAAGCTCTTTATAGGATATACTAATATTAAGAAAAATAGCAGAAATGTTAACCTATTCTAAGAGTTGTGCCAAGTTTGGAATATATGTTTAATGCGGTTTGTTTTTTCATCCCTCCCCCTAAAAAAACAGGAAGTCATGTCTGTGGAAGAGGAAACTACGTCCTGTTACTGCCTCCTGGACCCATATGCCTGTCACATTCTTTTGGACTCTTTTGGAACTTATGCTCTCACTGGGGAGCCCCTCTCTGATTGTTCCGTTAAAGAACTGAAAGTAGCAGTCTTTGGCTGTATGTCTTGCAACTCACTGGATTACAGTTTAAGGGTGTATTGCATCGATAACACTCCCTGTGCATTTCAGGTAAGGCTGGAAAATCTCTTCAGATTTTTGCGAATGCTTCTTCATTGCTCAGATATTTTAGTTTTCAATATTTTATACGTGCTTATGCAAAAGACTGATCATGGTATGAAACAGGGACTGAATCCAGGAGTAGAAAACCTGTGGCTTTCCAACTGGAACTCCAGATCCCATTTGCCCCATCTGCTTTGGCCAGTGGTCAAGGATGATGGGAGCTAGAGTCCAGCAACATCCAGAGGTCCAGAAGTGCCCCCATCCTTGACCTAAAATATCCTATACTGATCAGATTTTGACACAGCTCTACAAATTTTCTTTTCTTAGTGCCCCCCCTGCCCCGCCCCGTCCTGTTCTATTTGGAATGGGGACTTTGATACCAGAGTTTTGATTTTATATAATAACTAAGGCTTGCAATCATGTGCCCACTTAGCTGGGAGTAATTCCCCACTGAATGCATGGGATTTATCATCTGAAGCTCAGCATCAAAAAAACTAAGATCATGGCCACTGGTCCCATCACCTCCGGGCAAATACAGTAGAAGGGGAAGAAATGGAGGCAGTGAGAAATTTTACTTTCTTGGGCTCAATGATCACTACAGATGGTGACAGCAGTCACAAAATTTAAAGATGCCTGCTTCTTGAGAGAAAAGTGATGACAAACCAAGACAGCATCTTAAAAAGCAGAGACATCACCTGTCAACAAAGATCCATATAGTTAAAGCTATGGTTTTCCCAGTAGTGATGTATGGAAGTGAGAGCTGGACCACAAAGAAGGCTGATCACCGAAGAATTGATGCTTTTGAATTATGGTGCTGGAGGAGACTCTTGAGAGTCCCATGGACTGCAAGAAGATCAAACCAAACCTATCCATTCTGAAGGAAATCAGCCCTGAGTGCTCACTGCAAGGACAGATCCTGAAGCTGAGGCGCCAATACTTTGTCCACCTCATGAGAAGAGAAAACTCCCTGGAAAAGACCCTGATGTTGGGAAAGATTGAGGGCACAAGGAGAAGGGGACGACAGAGGATGAGATGGTTGGATAGTGTCCTCTAAACTGCTAACATGAGTTTGACTAAACTGCGGGAGGCAGTGGAAGACAGGAGTGCCTGGTCCATGGGGTCACGAAGAGTCGGACACGACTAAAAGACTAAACAACAACAAAACATGCCTAGGAACACTTTGTAAGCAGTGAATCAAGGCATTCTATACTCACCTCTGCTTTGAACCTCTGCATCCACTTCCCCTTCCTTTTCTTTATTTAAATACACCACCACCCAGCATGTTTTCAGTCTCATCAACCTTGGAATTAATGCACATGCCAGAAGCCCAGTAATTGCTACATTAGATGTTGCTAATGTAGTGCCCCTCCAGATGTTGTTGGATTACAATTCCCATCAGCTTCAGCGACATGGCCAGTGATCAGGGATGCTGGGAATTGTAGTCCAGCAAGATCTGGAGGGGACCACCTTGACTGCACCTGCCTATACTGTCCCTCTCTTTAAGGACTAGTGGCAGGTGGTACACGGTTATGTGCATTTCTTCACCAACATGTTTTAAATGAAAAAGCAGGCATCTTTTCCTGCTATTTTCCTGTACCAAGTCACCTTCCACAGAACTGCTTTTCTCCTTACCTGGCGTGAGCCTATCTTGAGCAGAGAAACCACCTGAAGTGAAAAGGTTAAGCATCATCTGCATACCTGCCAATCTGCTACACCTGCAGCTGTTTTGTGTGTGTGTGTGTGTGTGTGTGTGTGTGTGTGAGAGAGAGAGAGAGAGAGAGAGAGAGAAGTGTCTGGACAAAATTGCATCCAACTGCACATTGGCCTTTTTTGCATATCATGCTAAGTCAAGCCATGGCTTAGAGCGAGCACACAGGCTCCTGGAGAGAAGACAGTGATTGCTTAGTTCCTCCCCAGTCATTTTGCTGCTATGTTGTGCTGAGCAAAGCCTCCTTTAGGCATAGCATGTTGTCCAAAGCCAGGTTCATGGTTTAACTCTCTCCAGACTAACCACTAAGCAGAACCCATGGTGAGTTCTATGGTTTGTCTGGGAGAGCTGAACCAAGAGCCCAGGTTCAGAAGAAGACACAATAGGGAAGGGTGGGGGGCATTTCTCTCAGGTAATCTTCTGGGAACCACGTGTGATTGGTGGGCAAGGCCAGAGGGAAAGCGGGCAGAGCAACAAATGCAAATTTCACCTTTGTACAGAAAACTGGCATCTTCACGCTCAGGGCTCGTCCATACCTCTGCTTGCCCAGTGCCTAAAAAATACAGATCAGAGTCATTTTGCCTTTGCCCCACTGCATTCTTTAGCATGAAATCACAGCAAATGTCAATCCAGAGAAAACCTAATTGACATTTGCTCTGATTCAGCTCTGAAGATGGGGTTTTCTCAGGGGAAAGCAGTGGGACGGGCAGACGTGTGGATGACCCTCAGACACCCCTCTCTATCCCCCACCCAGGCAAGAGTCCCAGGACACATTCCAGCCAGGCAGAAATACTCAAGTGTGGCCAGTGTGGAGAGCCAGTGTGGTGTAGTGGTTAAGAGTGGTAGACTCGTAATCTGGTGAACCGGGTTCGCATCTCCGCTCCTCCACATGCAGTGGCTGGGTGACCTTGGGCTAGTCACACTTCTCTCTGAAGTCTCTCAGCCCCACTCACCTCACAGAGTGTTTGTTGTGGGGGAGGAAGGGAAAGGAGAATGTTAGCCACTTTGAGACTCCTTCGGGTAGTGATAAAGCAGGATATCAAATCCAAACTCTTCTCTTCTTCAAGGAAGATCCAGACGGGGCTGGTTAAGGGTGTGGCTTGAGGGGCGGGGGCTGGGAAGAGTTCAGAGGGCCAGATGGAGAGGCTTGGAGGGCCTGAAGTTCCCCACTCCTGTGCTAAGCCAAACCATGGATTTGCTCAGTGTGGCATAGCAGCAAAAATACTGGGGAGGAGTAATGCGGCTGCAATCTCCTCTTCCAGACCCCACGCTAAACCACTGTTTCGATTAGAATGATGTGCAAACCACGCTATTATATGTAGTTTGGCCTTAGCTCAGGAATCTGTCCCAGCACCAGATCCCTTTGTTTATCCCCAGGTAGGTAGCGTTCCCAGGGATTGAAAAGCAGATGTAATTCCATCAAAGCAAAAGTGATGCAGTTCAGTGCACAGTTTTGTTTATTTAATTCAGGTGGTTTTCCAAGCTACTGCTTAAGACTCTACTGTATTATATCGGGGATAATGAGTTATGTGCATTTGGCAAGGCATCTGGTTGGAAAGGTTTGGAACAACCCATGTGCAAAATGAAAGAAACGGCTAAACAAAAGAATTCCCTAGCTTGTGTTAGAAAAGAAAGAAGAAAAGAAGCGAGCAAGTATTTTCCATCCTGGCAAAGCCTGAAAAAAATCCTCAAGCAGCATAAGCCAAGGATCTAAGTGTCTGCTTCTAACAGACCCCTTATGAAAGAGGGGCTTTATGTTAAAGAATATAACATCGCAATCTTGTGGGGCTAAGATGCCATTTTTGTAATTATCCACAGCCCCAGTTAGCAATGAGCCCACTAAATGCTGAGACTGTATCACAGAAGATAAACAACATGCCTGAAGTTTCATTAGCACAGTAAACTGGTGTTGCCACCTCAGGTGTTTAGCAGTAAAGGCTCGGCTGGAGTCCAAAGGGAAGGTGCAGAATGTCTCTCTCTCTCTCTCTCTCTCTCTCTATATATATATATATATTAAAAAGCGTATGCTAGAAGGCTGAACTTTTGCTCTTCGTGACTTTTACCATCCAAGGCAGCCATCTAAAGATGGCTACAGAATATAAAATGCAGATCAAATTTATGATCCACATTTTTTCACTTTCCTTTAGGGTTCTGGAAGAGTTGCAGAAATCTGAACCTGCTCATTTGAACCTTATGTTGATATATGGGTTTGAATCCAACATTAGACTTTCTCAAAGTAAACCCACTGAAATTAATGGGCATGACTAACTTAATTAGACTAATTTTAGAATTGTTCTGCTCTGAGAAGAAGCTAGTCTGGAGTGTATGTGTGCTGCATATACCCAATGCAAACTTGGAATCGTCTTCACAGAAGCAAACAACTTGTAGTTTATAGAAGCTATGCGGTACATTCCATCCTGAATGATTAATCTTGTTGCAGTTTATGCCCAATGTAGCTTAAATCAAGCTGTTTTGTTTGCCTCTTTTTTATCTTCCTAAGCATGCCATTACTGCTCCAGAATTGCTGTTACATTCAGGGAAATTATGTAGACAAGGAGCCATATTTTATTTTAATGAACCTGAACAAGATATTTTTTATAATTTAAACTTAGTTGCAAGGATCGAATAATATTTACCAAAGTCTCCACTTAACAGTGGGGATTTTCTGTACGCAACAGGCTACTGGGTATTTTATGAAGTGCTATTATTCTTATTAATCCACAGTGACTGGCTGGTACCTCCATGTAAACATAAACTCTCAATGCTTATCACTGAGAATACAAAACCTAAAAACCCCATAATATGATGCAAACTGAGTCAAAGGGACATGAATATGGCCATTTTGAAACCACCTTCACTGGCAAGTTACCTCTTGTGTTCCATCTCACTGCATGGCTTATCGCTTTCCATCCTTGGGTTCATAAAGGTAAAGGGACCCCTGACCATTAGGTCCAATCGTAGACGACTCTGGGGTTGCGACGCTCATCTCGCTTTACTGGCCGAGAGAGCCGGCGGACAGCTTCTGGGTCATGTGGCCAGCATGACCTAAACTGCTTCTGGTGAAAACAGAGCAGCGCACGGAAATGCCGTTTACCTTCCCGCTGGAGCGGTACCTATTTATCTACTTGCACTTGATGTGCTTTTGAACTGCTAGGTTGGCAGTAGCAGGGACCGAGCAACGGGAGCTCACCCCATCACAGGGATTCGAACCGCCGACCTTCTGATCAGCAAGTCCTAGGCTCTGTGGTTTAACCCACAGCACCACCCACGTCCCACTTAGGTTCATAGCTAAGAACAAAAGAAAAGCCATTGTGAATTTGACCATAGCTCCAGCCATAGCTCATTAGTAGAGAATCTTGCACCCAGAAGGTCTCGGGTCCCATCTCCGGGCAGGGCTGGGATGGCCCAGTCTTAAACCCTGGAGATCCACTGCCAGTCAGTGTAAACAGAACTGAACTAGATGGTCTGTCTGGGGGTGGATCTACACACAGGAAAGAAACCGCTATAAATAAATCAGAAATGAAATCGTTATAACAAAAGAAAAAAGAAACTATGGAAAACCGCTAAGATTTATTTATTTTTTGCTCTCCAGTGCCATCTGGCGTTGCATGTTTAGAACGCATTCAAAACACTGGGTTTTTTTTGTTTTGTTATTAATGTAGCTGTCTTTGGTATAAGGCAGCTTCCTATGTTCCTACCACCACCCCATACACAAAAACTATGTGGCTAAATATTTATACCTCTCACTAACAAAATAAGATATCCTCAGAAAGAAAAACTGTTTCTTTCCCTGGTTGCGGATTAGTCTTCCCAGAGAAATCAAATTAAATCTGGAAAACGAATTGTTAAAACACAGTTAAGCCACCACACAGGGGGTCTCATAACAGCTCACAGCGCCCTTAACAAACGGCAGCGCCCAGGATTCCTTGCAGGAAGCCATGGCTGTTTAAAGTGGTGTGATACTGTTTTAAATGTATAATGCAGATGAGGCGCAACTCCTCACTCCTTCCCCCACTCCCATAAATCAGCAGCCACAGTTTTCTGAAGAAGCAAGAGTTCTGAAATTGCAGGTGGCTCACTGTTTGTTTCTTTGTTTTCCCTTTCTCTGCTACAGGAAGTGATTTCAGATGAAAGACACCAAGGGGGGCAGTTGCTGGAAGAACCAAAGCTGTTGCATTTCAAAGGGAATACTTTCAGTCTTCAGATCTCTGTCCTTGATATCCCTCCTTTTCTCTGGAGAATCAAACCATTCACAGCATGTCAGGTATTTGTGTATCAAGGCTAGCGTTTGCCAATGCTTTTTTTTTTTAATTCCCAGGCATATCTGAAACCCCAAGACATTTCTTTGCAAGGTTAGGCACTTTTTCTAATACCGGGGATTTTATGAATAAATATATCGCTTTATGATTGGCGTTTTAGCTTTTGGTTGGCAAGCTATACAGTGGTACCTCGGGTTACAAATGCTTCAGGTTACAGATGCTTCAGGTTACAGACTCCGCTAAGCCAGAAATAGTACCTCGGGTTAAGAACTTTGCTTCAGGATGAGAACAGAAATCGTGTGGCGGCAGCGGGAGGCCCCATTAGCTAAAGTGGTACCTCAGGTTAAGAACAGTTTCAGGTTAAGAACAGACCTCCAGAACAAATTAAGTTCTTAACCTGAGGTACCATTGTATTCCCACAGCTGAGTCCAGTGCAATCCAAGTTATGAATAGCCAAATGCATAATTTCCCTTTCATCTCTTTGCTCCTGAAGCAAA